AGTTGCCGTCAGAGGAGAGCAGCGTGCGTGCCCACACGCACACACGAGCGCGCGCGCGAGAGAGAGGGGGGGGAGAAAGGGGGGAGAGAGACAGAGAGAGGAGGCGGCGGGTGGAAGAGGGAAGTCACCGCTGACCTCCATCTCCCATCCTGGAGCAGTTTCCGGACGTCAATGTTCCAACGCATGCCATCACGGGGCCCACCACAATCCCCAAGGGCCATCAACTCAGCCGCTGAGGGAGAGAGAGGGAGAGAGGGAGAGAGAGCTCGGCAACAGTGTGCTTCACAAACAACGGGCACTTCAGGACATCAACAGTGGGCGCTTTCGAAACAGAACAACCGGCGCTGCACCCACTGCACTAAACAACAGCAGACTCTGTTGCCCTGCAACACTTCCAACGGGAAAACAGCACCGCACGGCGTTTCAAACTTACCTGTCGAAACTTGAAAACGCGCGGTGGGATCTGGGGCTCTGGGGCGTTGGGCCCTACCATACCGACGGCCAACATTCGGACGCGGTCGTGGTCTTCAGATCTTAAGACCAGGTGGATCCAGGCGGTCGTGTAGGACCCGACAGCACAGATCGCAGATTTGTTAGATTTTATAGACGATCTGGGCCATCACTCCCATAAGGACCGCCATGGCCCAGATAGGACATGGGCCGATAGGACCACAACGGCCCACATTTTAGATTTGTAACGCTAGAGATTTTAACAGTGTAGGGATCTTCGCGTGGACATAACTCACACATCAGAGGGATGCTCAAGGTGGAGCGAGGGCCTAAAGGTCGAGGGAAGGAGTCGTGGGAAAAGAGCAGGAAGATGGTGCCAAGATGAGAGAAAAGAAGGGAAAAGCAAACAAAATTTGGGCAAAGAGTATTCACTTAAAACCACACAGGCTCAAAGGTAGGACTTGCCCATAGCAAATTATCAACAGCCTATTGTCAGCATCCATGTACGTTACAAAGAGGTCCCAACAAATTACCCCTCAGCGCTCAAACAAGAAGTCCATCCACACCTCCTCCTGCCCTTTCCATCCAACAGGCTTGATCCACAAATTTGAGCCAGTTGACCTGCTGGGTTGGAGCAAGGCAAATGAGAAATGTACTAAGGGTTAATACTAAGGGTTAATTCAAGTTCCGTTAAACGACATCTTGGCTAGTGGGATAAAAAAGGTCAGCCATTTTTTCCCACTTGGTCTGCCTGCCCGGCCTGAAAGGGCAAGCCCGCTGGATCACATAGGCTCTAATCAGCACACGCATTCAGCTTCCACCAACTTTTTCCGGGGGGAGACGCAGCAAAGATGTTCTTGATTTTTCAGATATTTTCTTTCTAATAAGTCTCCCTCATTCAGTGAAACCTACCCTACATTCCTGACTTTTTCCTCATTTGTTTGTCAACAGAAATCAGAATTAGAAATCGCCAAGTTGGGGCACTCGAAGCTTTGCATCCCCTGGTAACCCCCCGTGGGGGTGGGTAGGCAGAACAGTGAGCATTTTTCTCACCTCCACCCTGAACCAACCCTGTCAGATCTTTTTTTTCTCTGTCTCGCCCACCATTGCCCTAAGCCACCCCACTCTAGCCACGCATCATAAAATTACGGATTTGTATAGCTTCCCATCACTTTTTCCCAACACCCTTCCCCACAGATGAGTCTAGACATACAGAAAATCGAGCTGATCGACAGAATGTCTGACCTTGTGTCTTAGGAGATCTTTCATCGAAGAAATAAGTGTTGCCAGGACCTCCTCCTTTGGACCTGAGGCACTGCGAGCAGCCAACCAAACGTCAAACACCAAAGTAAACGATCGCTTCAACGCCTAAGCCTATTTTGACAAATGAGTGATCTGGAGAGACCTACACTGCGAGCAGCCAACCAAACGCCAAACACCAAAGTAAACGATCGCTTCAAGGCCTAAGCCTATTATGACAAATGAGTGATCTGGAGAGACCTAACCACTCCTCTTCTCGCTTTCATGACACAGCTGATGATGGCCAGATCTCTCTCCCCCCCCCCCCCACTTTCTCTCTCTCACGCACACAAACACACACACACAGGCACACATGAACACACTGCATATGAACCCATGGACACGTTACGAACACTGCATATGATCAAACACATTTATTCATTGTGATTTCATATGGAATTCAAATCACTCTCTATTCTGATACCTAAAATTCCGAGCTTATGCTTAGATCCATCTTCAAACTTCTACCTTTCCACAGAAAACAATCTGGCTGAGGGGTACACAATGGGCACACATTAACGTCATAAAAGACTAGATAAGAATTATGCAGTCGTAGAAGACTGGATAACAATTATGTTGCCGCCCTAACCAGAGGAGGACAGTACACAGATTGTGGGGAACAACATCTTTCAGTTCTTATTTCAATGCCATGGGATGCTCGACCCAGTTTCCAGCACGTGCTCTCTGGTGCGTGGGAAAAGAAAAAAAAAGTTGTCAATCTGTGCATAGTTGGATGAATTCCCTGAGGCGCAAACCATGCAATCCTCCGGGTGCAACACGCCAAACTCACTTAACTTGAATTGGTTCCAGCCATTACCAAGAAGCAGACCAAAGAACAGTTTTTGTTCTCCAAAACCTCTAACTTCCAGCCATTACCAAGAACCAGACCAAAGAACAGTTTCTCTTCTCCAAAACCTCTCAATGGGCGAGAGGTTCCGAAAGGCCTCGGACAAGGCATTTCGTATGCAGATTCCTCATGGTTGCACATTTCGTATGCAGATTCGTCATGGTTGCACAGAGCCGCCAAGAAAAATCACAGTAAAAGTTGGAACATTCAAAAGCTATAGCCGGAAAGAGACCAAGACAAAAAGAAGACGAGCACACGTCTGACCGCATCTTCGGTATAAGATTCTGAATAAGCATTAGAAAAGGCCGTGAACATGCATACCTATCGTACGTCAAAACAGTAGCACCTGCCTTCTCCACCCGTTCCAGTAACTCCACACTTTCTTCCAGCCTGCCTTGATAATATTTCGCCATTCCCCCAAGTCGCCAACGCCAGAGGCGCCATGGTGTCGTAACTTTGGCATCCAACGGACAATTACCATTTGCAACAGGTGTTGCAGATGTAGAAGACGTAGAGCTTCCCTCCAGGGGCGGAGCATTCTTCTCTGCCGAGCTCATAGTCTGCTCGCAGAGAGCAACGACTTCATCATATCTCCTCAGCTGCACCACAGGTTACAACAGCAAAAATGATTCCAAAGAGTAATTGTTACTAATTTCACAGCCGTACAAGGCAGAAGAATGGCCTTTCTCTAAGGGTAAGATACACAGACATGGTATCCCTACTAATACAGATAAGAGCTTGACATCAGCTAAGCAAGGAAAGAACGTAGAACATGGCATTTGGGACAAAGGCCCCGGGAAGCAGAAGCGCCTGACCGACAACCACAAGTGAAAAGGGAAATACCAAAGACAGCACCTAAGGGAGGCAAGACCGTAGAACATGGCAAGTGGGACACAGACCCCGGGAAGCCGAAGTGCAGGTCTGACAGGCACAAGCGAAAGGGGAAATAGAGATAACAAGGGAAGTTGGGGATTCGCTCACAAAGAAAAAGGGAAAATTTTGAGAACATACAGGGTTTCTTGTTTTTTTTTTTTGGGGGGGGGTGTGGGGTCTATGTGGAGTTCAGGCTCACCTCCTCATTGTTGTTGATGCAGTTGTTGTAATGCTACTTGATTTATGGATTCTCTTCAGTTTTGAGGGGGGCGGCCAGGGCAGAGGGGCAGCGCGGGCGGAGGGGGCGCATTTTGTTTTTTTTCCGCATGGTCCGTACTGGGGGAAAGGAGCAGCGGAGGTGGAGAGGGGCGCCGGAGCTGGAGCATGGGCGGAGTGGAGGCTGGAGAGGGAGCACCCGCAGAGAGCAGTGGAGTGGAAGTTTTTTTTTTTTGGGGGGG